AAAATAAAAAGAAGAAAAAAAATAAAAAGGTAAAAAGTCCTGAGAAGAAGATTGAGGTTGACACAAAGATTGAAAAGTAAAACATGAAAGTGGTTTTAGTAGAACTTAAGTGATAAGACTTCTTCATGATACACTAATGAAACTCATGTATTGTTATCTTCGAGAAAAAAAGTAAAGTAGGATTAGATTGATTGGTTTCATTGAAATTGCTTTAAAATATAAGAAGTGAGCGAAGATATTTTAATTGTCACCTATTTAAGAATCTTTGAGATTTCATAAAGACAAAAACGAAGGGAATTAAGGAAAAGTCAAGCTATTAAACATTAAAAATAATTGATTCTAAAATAACACTTAAATATTTTTTTTTTGACTTCGATAAATAAGTTGAATAATTTAGAAACTTACAGTACTTATTTTATTCTCGTGGGGCCCCAACTGAGCTATGAGATTACTAGTTGGGGGTATTTACTCAAGTTAATTTTACGTGATTTTATTTGCATGTTATCATTCGTTTTACTTGCTATTTCACCCTATTTATTATGATTTTATGCTTGTGAAGGTTCTTTGTGCTATTTTGCAGGTTATAGGTGTTAAGCATGCAAAAAATCAAAACGCACAAAACGTTGTTGTTTAGCATAGTTATGCTTGATCTAGGTGTGACCACGCCAGAATTGACGTGATCACACTTGTTTCGGGGATCCAATTTGGAAGTTATTTTCATACCAATTTTTGTTGGATATTTAAAGCGGAGAGTTTTCGTGAGTTTTCTTTATGTTTCCTCTTCCTCTCTTAGGGTTGAGGTCATAAGTATTTTTTTTCTTCCTTTTTCTTTGTATTGTTTTTATATATTTTAAGGGGTTATAATATGAGAGAGGAGTTGGCTCCTGTTGAAGAGAGAACAAACAATTTTGCAATTGGTTTCTATTCAATAATCCTTACAACAATGGTTTTGATGGGATGTTTTTCGTGAATCATTTGTATCATGCGTTGTTAGACCTCTTTTCGCACCTCTGTGATTTATAGTGTGTTTTGTGGCTTTCTCGAATGAATTCTTTCTGTATTGTTTTCTTGAGAATCAGAGCTTTTCGTTATTGTGTTACCCATAGAGATTCATTTAATCCTGATCTGATCAATTAAGATGTTAACATATTTCATGATCTGCGACTTCTATCCATTACACAAAAAAATAAAATGGTTAACCATAGAATCCAGATATTAATAGACATATTTTACCCGGGTTTTACAACCTAAAAAGGGGATCGGAACAAATCTGCGGGATGCCATAGGGATTGAGGAAACCTCAATTTCATGGATTATAATCTTCTTTTGACCTTGACATATGCATAAAGAGGATTTTCTATCACTATTGACAACAATCACGTTGGGAAAACACTAGGAAACCATGAATCATTACATTACGTAAATCATAGGGGCATGAGGTTCACATATCTTGACGAAAAGTAAGATTTATCTGTCGTGGTTTTCTCTCTTTTCCAAACATGTCTTTATTTTGCTTTTAAGTAGGATTTTAAGAAACCATCCCCTACTTGTGATAGTGTTAAACTAGGTTTAGAAGTTTAGTAAACTACGGATTCGTCTTCCAGAATAAGAGAAGACGTCATGATGTTTGTGGAAGGTTCTGACAAGCCAGTCCTTATGTCTTGCATCGAAAGCCTCACTGATTAGAAAACACTTACGAGGCTCCCCTACGATTACTGGTGCTTTGAGAATGGTTTCATTGGTCTCAAAACCCCCCTCCCTTCGATGTTGGAGATCGACAGGCTTCTGTTCCACAATGTTGACTGCCCGAAGATAGCAGTTTTCAGACTGCTCCAGATTTTCCTGCATAGTGCTCACCTTGTTGCCTCCAAAAACTTCACTGTCACGTGGTACCTAGATACCAGTCTTATAATATTTCAGGAGTAAGCGGGCGGCCTAAGATTGAATTTTATGTTGGAGGCAAATCCACCACTAATAAATTCTTCCATGTGCCTAAGCTGCTCGTCACCCTCTCCCCAGTTGACTGGTATTGTTATCCTTTCCCTTGAGAATCCAAAGAGTGGTCTGACTGATGTTACCACTCGGTTGGCTGGAAGGTTCATCTTGCCGAATATTAGTTCGAACAAAATGTTCACTGAGCTACCAATATCAACCAAAATACTACCGATCTGGTAGTTGCTGATCATGGCAACTATGTTGATGGTGTCGTTGTAGTGGTTTCCTTTGCGGGGTAAATCAACATCAGAGAAAACAAGTGGTGGATGGGTATTGCGCCTAAGAATGAGGGCGACCACACATAGTGGTGAATGGGTGTTGTGCCTAGGAATGAGGGAGTCCGCGCATAGCTCGCCTGCCCGAGGCCTTTCTTGGTTGGCTCGTTTGGGGGGTGGTGCGACTCCTCCCAAGTTGGTCGAAACAAATCAAGCAATTTGAATGGCATTGGCCTTTACAGGTTCATCTGGGATTTCTTCAACTAGAGCCTTCTCGTGCCGGGTGCCACAAATTCCTTGAGCTAGCATGCTTTGATCAGCTCCTTGACCAGGCACTAGAGGTGTTGGCATTCATTCGTGTCGTAGTCATGGTCCTGATGATATGAGCAATACTTTCTAAGGACTCAGAGGAGTGCTTCAACCCTCATGAGGGACGCTTTCTTGAAGAACTCTTTATTTTGGATGGCTTTCACTAGCTTCTCTATCGACAGCCTCAAGGTCCTCGGTGTCCCACATTCGTTCTCATGCTACTCATGATATCGATAAGGAATTTTGTCAGTGTACCTCTATTGTCCTCATTGTTGAGGGTTTTGATTGGCTCTGTTGTGCTCCCGGGGCAGTCAACTGTCTTTGTTCCTTGGACGAATGGGTGGACGCCGATCCTCCCTAGATCTCCAACCACTATTCTGTTGAGTTCTTTTTTGCAAACGATGGTCGGATGATTATTGTTTATGATAGAGGCGGACATTCTCTTCAGTGGTGATGTGCTTGTTGTCCATCTCAAGCAATTCGGCCAGGTTTTGTGTCTCCACCAAACCGAGGTCGTATCTGAATTTTTCTTTCCTTATCCTTTGGGCTAAGGCTGAGTGTGCCATTCTAGGCTCTTAGTCTCTTACTTCAAGCATCTTTTTCTGGAAATAGGTAATGTACGAGCGCAGACTCTCATGTTGTCTCTGCTTGACCTCTCACAGGGCGTGTGCACTCTTCTGCAGTTTCTGCGCACTGACAAACTGAGCCACGAACAATCTCTTGAAATCACCTAAGGATGTGATTACCCTTGCGGGTAACCCATCGAACAACCTGCGGGCTGATTCCCTTATCGAGGTAAAGCGTGTAATTGTTTTTCAACAAGCAGACTAACAACTCAAATGATGCGACAGGACCAGCCAGGTCGGACCAACCTTTTGTACGGATCAAGTGAAGGGGCTTTGAACTTCTCTGGGGTTTTGAAAGCTGAAGTTTTTCATGAGAATGCGTTATCTGGCTGGTGGGGGCCTTTGTGCGCCCATGTTTTTGTCTATTCATGTACGTAGATCCGACACTGTCCTGGTATTGGGAGTCCGCGACTCCCATACGGAACCCCTCTGCCTCCCCCCTATGAGCTGCTCGACAACCTTGGGGCTCAGGTTCTTACTCTCAATAACTTTGGTCCCATGAAATCTACTCCATTCCTCCGAGCATCGCTCGAGAACTTCGCCATTTGACCCAGCATATGGTCTCTCAACTCTTGAATTCTTTGTTGTACAAATTCTGCGGTGCAATCCCTGTTTCCTGCGTCCCTCTGATGAGTTCTTTCTTTGGGTTGTGCTCTTATTCTTGTTTTTGACATGTTTCACCCTCACCACACCTTTTAGGATGTTGAATCCAAGATTGTCTCGTAAAGCACACCCAAGAAATAGAGCGTAGGAGTGAGTATGAGAGAGAGAGAGAGAGGTTGAGTCTGGATTAGCTGGAAAAGTTTATTAGTCTTTTTGTTTTATAAATGACTTCTTATTTATAGATTAAGGGATATGAAGTGTATAATTACGTGCTTGCCCCTTTTTCAAGTAAGGACCTTACGGAGCATTTTTTGTCATAAATATATATATGAATAAAATAAAATTAAAAAGAGCCTTTGATTTGACTGTCTCATCCTTCGGTCGCCTGAGACTGGGCCTTTGTTCGGCTTATCTGAGGAGCTTCGGTCTACCAGACAAGCATCGACCGACAAAACTATGGGCTTTTGATCGGTTGAATTGAGGGTCTTTAGTCGGCCATGCTTGGGAACGTCGGTCGATTGACTCTCTATCGATGTGATTAGCAATTACCATTCACCTTGTATGACTCCGACAGCTAAGATGAGGATAGGATGTCGGGCAGAGGGCACTGTACCATAATTCAATAGGTAGCTCCACCCATCCAATAGGAAAATTGTCGGGGAGTCGTGTTGGTGCCGTATTAGGAGCTTATACTCAT